AGTCCAGTGGGCGCAAAGTCCGGACGGTTCCACTCTCCGCGTCCACTGACACGAATGATGCGGCGGCGAGGGTGCCCGTCGGTGGCGGCACTAGCCAGTATCTCACGCGGGCGTTCTCTCCCGCGTCAGGGTCCGTGGCACTGAGGCGGCCAAGGCTCCTCCCCGCGGGCTCGTTTTCGCTCATCACCATGGTGTAAATGGCCTGGGTGAAGGTGGGTGCATTGTCGTTCACATCCAAGAGCCGCACGAGCAGGGTTTTGGATGTCGAGAGGGCGGGGGAGCCCTCGTCTCGAGCTCGCAGAGTCACGTTGTATTCCTCCACCTGCTCCCGGTCCAGCGTCTCTGATGTCACCAGCGCGTACGCGTCGGCTGCCAGCAGCGTGATCCTGAAGGGTTGCTCTCCTGTCAGCTCGCAGGTCGTCCTGCCATTGTCCCCCGAGTCCCGGTCCCGCACGTTGAAGAGGGCCACCACGGTGTCCGGCGGGGCGGCTTCGGAGAGGGTGCTGGTGAGCGAGGTGATGATCACCTCGGGGGCATTGTCGTTCACGTCCTTCACCTGCACCTCCACATTGCAATGCGTGGACAAGTCCCCTCCATCTGTGGCTTGGACGTCTATCTCATAGCTCTTTTTTTCTTCATAATCCAAAGGCTTTTTGAGTCGAATCTGGCCTGTCTCTGGGTTTATTTTAAACGTTTGGAGATTTTCCTCTGGATTTTGAACTATGGAATACACTATTTCCCCATTCGTTCCTTCATCTAAATCACTAGCAGACACTACCACCACTATGGTGTCCTCTGAGCTATTTTCCATTACAGAGACTTTATACAGAGTCTGGGTAAATACCGGGCTGTTGTCGTTTATATCCAGGACTACCACGCGGATTGAAGCTGTGCCAGACCGTGGTGGATTCCCACCATCTACAGCCGTGATGCTGAAAGCAACTTCTGCCTGCTGCTCCCTGTCCAGAGCTCGATCCAACACCAGCTCGGCATACTTCCTACCGTCACTCCGCCGCCGGGTGTAGACAAGGAAATACTCGTTCGAGCTGATACTATAATGCTGAAGGCTGTTGTTCCCCACGTCTGGATCGTGAGCTCTTTCCAATAAAAATCGAGTCCCGAGCATTGCAGATTCCGGGATCTTTAAAACAATCTCTTTGTTTAAGAACACAGGAGCATGATCATTTATGTCGATGAGTCTTACCTCAGCTCGGAAGGACTGCAGTGGGCTCTCCAGCAGCACCTCGAAACGCACCAAGCAGGGCTCGCTCTGTCCACACAGCTCTTCCCGGTCCATTTGCTCTCTCACCACCAAATCCCCGGTGTGCTGGTTCAGCTGTAAATACTGCTTTTCTCCTTCAGGAACGACTCGAGCCCGACGAGCCAATAATTCCTCACCGGTTAGTCCCAAATCCTTAGCGATATTCGCCACAAAAGAGCTTCTCTCCGCCTCTTCGGGCACAGAGTACCGAGCGGTTTCTGCTCTCATCCCCGAGACGCAGAGGACAAGCAGCAGAGCCGCCGCTCGCCCCGGGAGCTGTTCCTCGCTCTTCCTCGGCTTCATTCCCTCCCAGAGACCCGGTCTCCCCTCCTGTAAGCTGGATGGAGCTGCCGATACAGCCTGCCGCCCCCCGAGCGGAGCAGCCCGAGATGGTGCAGCCCCGCCCGAATCGCGGGGCCGGCGGAGCTCTGGAGCTGCGCGGAGCTTCCGCGGTCAGCAGCGGCACCAGGCGGCCGAGCTGTGGAAGGATTCGAAGATTTCCCAGCGCAAAGCCTGGAAAGCAGAGATTAACGGCTCGTTTTCTCCCTTCCTAGGTCAAATCATAGAGATTGAAATGTCCCTGTAACTGTATTCAAAGTATGGCCACTGGCTCAATGAGCAATGCCTCTTTTTACCTTCTGCTTCAAAATGGAGTTTATTTACAGCTGGGTCGTTCCTTTTGTTTTGGTTCCCCCTCACTTACCTCAGTATGAACACTTTGAATAAATGACTTCTCGGCCGTTCAGCTAGAACAGATGTGTATTGTTACAGAGGTTCAGCAACCAGGTAAGGTGGTCTTTTGACCACAGTAGCAATCGCCATGGTCGTTCTCGGAATGGACAGAGATTGTTCCCGCAGTTCATTACCTCTCCTGCTGGGAGCCTTTGGGAATGGGCTGGAGGCAGCATCTCAGACCTCAGCTCGTCTCACAAAAAAAAACTCGTCCACCTTGCTCCGACTTCTGAGACCGCCCTATTTCCCCAAGTCGTTCTGATTTCCCCTGCATTAATTCCACTCCAGATGCAGGGATTTATTCCCGAAATCCTGCTCTTGAGTTGGCTTTTTCCTCTGCCATGACTGTGGCAAGTGATCTCGAGACAGCACACCCACCCGAGGGCGTTCCAAGTAAATTTTATTGTTTTCTGTCATTGCTCATTTGACTCTTTAAAATGGCTCAACAACAGGAATTATCACATAACTTTATAATTCAATACCGACTGACGAAAGAAAACCAGAAAGCTTCTTGACACCCTATATTCTACAGTGTCCTAAGCTAATTGGAAATGGTTTCGTATATTTTACTGAAAAACCACAAATAATACTTTTAATCATCTTGGTTTTTAAAAAAAGTGAAATAGTGTTTTCAACTTTATGAAAAAAAAAAAAAAAAGAAAGGAAGAAAGAATACACTGTTCAAAGCCCACTCTTTATAATTAGGAGAGCCTGTAAACTCCTGGTGAAATAGCCAAGTGTGCCAATGCCAGCAGTTCAAAATGTAAACAGCTTCTGCTTATTTTGTAAGAAATCCCTTTGCAAGCACCACTTAATTTTACATATTATCTGTTTCGCCTGGTGTTGAATACATGGCAGAAAATTAAGATATTATTACAAAGCTGTCTCCATAAAAAGTAAGAAAGAAAGAAACAAAGCACAAAAGGAAATTCCCCAGAGAAGGCGGTGTAAAAAGAAGTTGAAAATCTGCTGCCAGTTTTCAGTATTTCTCGAAGTATGTAGAAGCAGTAGCACTCTCACAATCATACATTATGTATGATAATTACTGATTACTATGATAATAATTGAGTATTATGTAATCAACATGCAGCACAGTTCTCCTCCATCGACAGCACAATTACAAAATAGCTACATGAATAAAGTACTGCACAAGGGGAAAGTACTCTCATTGAGAAGGTTTCATCTCCCTGGTACTTTTTAGGGAGGTGCTTGGTCTCTTTTTTCCCTTTTCCCTGCGAGGACAGCCAAACTTGTCTTTCTCTTCACTTATTGATGGGCGAGCCAAGGGTTTTGCTCAGAACTGACATTGGGCTCCAGCTCCCTGTTTGCAGGGCAAACTGCACCTGCAGCTCTGGGCCCCGTATCTTCAGAGGTGGGAGCACTGCCCTGCAAAGAACAGAGAGAGCAGTTGTCATTTGGAGTTGAAGGAAAGCAGGCGTCACCGAGAAGCTCAGAGGATGTGTCTTACATCACTGCCCGTGTCACACCCCTCCTCTCTACCGGGAGCCAAAGAGAAAGCAAGACTTGGTGGATCTCTAACCTGAATGGACAACACCTGAAGTCAGAAACCATCCTCCAAAAGGGTACTATTGCAAAATCCTAATGAGTCTCTATAAAACCTTTATGAGTTTTGAGTAATTTGAAGAGGTGAGAGCCCCAAACAGAAACCACGTTCTCACAAACAATAAATGTGGTTTAATGTTGATATATCAAGAAGGGTCCTTGTCTTGCCTGAGGCTACTGTGATTCTGACACTCTGCAGTAAAGTGAGTCCAAGTCATCGGTGGTTTTGAAATATGAAAATATTAACTGACCCTGATGGTGTTTGTGTTTCTCCAACCTCATATATGTTCATCATCCTGTCTACTGTGAAATGCTAGATGGATCCTTGGACACTCTCCATGGAGTCCCCACAGAATCCCATACTAAGAGGTGACCGTTAACCACGCTTTTCTGGTCAACGCTATCCATGCAAGTCACAAAACCATAAAGGAATTTAATGGCAGAGGCTCCTACCTCCGTAGGCTCCAGCAGTTTCTAAGCTTGAGTTCAGCATTGCCACCACCCCGGTGAATGGCACAGGGCAGCACCAAGCACCAGCTCCCAACAGCAATGCAGGGGACATAGTTGGTGACACCCTTTGCACAGCTGTCCCTGCAGTCCCATCTGAAGCTGGACAGGCCACTACATTCCTGTTACTGCCACCTCTGGGAGGATGTACCCCTAGGAATGGTGTCATTCCTGCTCCAGGTCTCCACACACTGCATGGGCAGGACCCACGTGTCTGTAGGCACAGGGTTTGTGGTAACTGGGATTGGGGCTGCAGCCAAGAGTCATCCCCAATGGGATACAGCTGTGCAGGAACAGGTGAACAGTACTGAATGTAATGAGACCTAGAGTGCCCAGGTGCACTGACCAACCACAAAAAGGTAGAGAGGACCCACAGGTGCCATACATGAACATGAAGGGTATAAAAGGTTGGGCTAAAGAACAAGAAGGGCACACTCTTGGAGCTTTCTGAAGTGGTATGGGGTTATTCTGTATGGGCTGATGTTTGAAGCCTTCTGACATTGTATGATGATACTCTGTATTGTGGCCAGATCAGATGTGACACATATCTACCTGTACTTTTCACCTTCTCACGGCCTAAATCTTCCCCTTTGAAGTGACACCAAAGACTTGATCTATCATGAATACTCAGTCTAGATATGGACCCTGCTGCCCAAATGGTGGGTGCCCCACCCCTGGAAATATCCAAGGTCAGGTTGGATGGAGCTCTAAGCAACCCGGTCTAGTAAGGTATCCATGCTCATTGCATAAGGGTTTGGACTTAATGGATTTTAAAGGTCCATTCCAACCCAAAATGTTCTATTCTTCTATGATGCGGAGA